TGTGATTCTCTCCTTATGGCCCAGACTGTATTTAGTATGTTGCTTGAGCAGCATGCAGCTTTTCTTCTTCGGCGATCTTGGTTAAAAACAGATACAAAAACAAATAGTATACCTAACCTGCCAATTCGTTCAGACCATCAGCAGCATGTATTCTGCGAGATGTAAATCGATAGTGATGCTCGTGCAATTGTGGCCATACTTCTTCATTTTCATAGACCAGCTACGATTCATTCGTTGTCTGCTCTGTCAACCATGCTTACAATTTTGTTTTAAGTTTCGCCTGTAGCTACAGGCCATACCTCAATAAAGGCACATATAAAAATTTACACTTCCTACGAAAAACACGCCAAAACTAATTAAATAGAAACGAGCGCACCGACAGCTAACGTCGTCACAGCCTCCACAGGGCGAGCGGGGCGAGTCGGGGAAAAGTTATCTCCTTGCGGTGACGTCGACCCGGTTGGCCGTACAGGGGCGCCACGCAAACTTCTCGGGGCTAATAGGGGCGCGCCGGTCAGGCAGTATGGCGCGCAAAAGGAGGTCGTTTTCGTCGTTCAGCACGCTGACCACCATAAATTCTTTCAGTGCAGCATAAGATCGGTGTTACATGTGAAAGCAAAGCGATTTTTCGACGGTAGAAACCTTCATCTAGTCAGTGCGTAGGAATGACGCGGCGGAAGCATAAAAATAATTACTGAAACAACGTTTGTTTCTATGCTGCCTACGTGAACCAGGCAGCGATAACAGACGACAGAGTTGAAACGACCTCCTCTCCTGAGCTCCTCGGTGTTGCCGCTACGCGGCGTTGATTTCGCTAGAGTCACCAATATTCAGCTCATTTACAATGGCAAGAAAGGTTTGCGTTTCTTCTCGAGAGAAACTTATGGATGGACACCCAGGATTGTGCCCGCTTTTTTCCCCTGCCAAGAAGACAAGACTCACCGCCGCCATGTTCTCAGCTAGGCACATAGCCAGGATTTTGATTCGGGGGGAGGGGAGGGGAGAGGAGGGAGGGAGGGAGGGATTGTGCCCGCTTTTTGCCACCAACTCCGCCAATACTGAGTTGGCGGCAAAAGGAAAAGGAATGCTATACTCTAGCTCTGCAATGCCTATACAGTTACTCTATATCTGGACTAAGCGCAGCGCCAACGTTAAACCACAAAAAAAAAAAAAAAAAAAAAAAAAATCGCAAGAGGGCAAAGACAGGAAAGGACCTTGAGACAAGTGGAAAAATGTGTCATCTCGGGATCGCCCTTTTGTTAATTTTATTTCTTACTTTTTGTAACAAGTCGTCGCAGACTGTCACAGCGAAGCGGCTTGAACGGGTGGACCGGGTAGGTTAACACGCGACTTAGTGTTACGTGCGCGACATAGTGGTCGTCCCCAACTGCAGTGGCGTGGACAGGGAGGAGGCTTATGGGGCTTCAACCCTCCCTCCCCTGGTCATAAAGATCCCAGCCTCCTCAGCTAGTCCCCCCCCCCCCCTCCCCCCCCCCCCCCCTAAAAAAATCTACGCATGGCACCGTGAAAGCGGTGAAAGTGCCAAGTTATTTTCTTCGACAAGAAAGGGCACATGGGGGTAATTTACCTTGCGGCAATTTTAGGTGTCACTATGGCGAAGTATTTGCTTTAAAACGTCAGAAAAAAGAGTATATTTTGGCTTTTGAAAAGCTGCATCCAGTTAACATCTCGAACGATTTTTCCTGCGGCGAATCGCCCTATGACGAATCGGCATATTCGACGAATGAACCGCCGACGAGTTGACCGTCGACGATTTCTCCTAGACCCTCACGACATCATTTCAGCTGCGATCTACAACCGCAGGACGACATTGCATTCCTATAGGACAGGGGTCTCAAGCACGCGGCCCGCACGCAACCGGCCACGCGTTCCGGTTCCCGTGCGCTGGAAATGGCATGCGCCATAGTGATCTCATCATGCCGATTCATTTCCGCTCGAAAAGTAGCTCTGCTATTTTAACGTATTCACATAGTTTATACTTATCTGTGCTCATTTGCCCTTTGTTTCGCTTTATTTTTTTTGCTTCCCAGCCTTTTGTAATGTACAACAATTACGCTACTGCTGCAAGCGCAAACTATTCGTTTCAGGATACATCTCGGCTGCGCGAACTCTCGTTCAGCAGGAGCAGCTGCCAAAGATAAAGATACGATATCGGGACTAGAGCCATCACAGTATTTTCTCAGTGTGTTGTAATAAAAACCGTCAGGAAAGCAAGAACTGTCAAATTAACTGATTGATTTCTTAGAGACATGTTGAGCTTGGTGAATTTCCGAGCGAATTAAGCAACGAAAACGACAGAGCAATTTCCCTCTTGTTCCATTAAAAATGCTGGCACGCTGGCGGGGCGGTGTCATCTTAATTATTGATATCACATGACGTGATGCCCCAAAGTAGTTATATAAACCAACAAATCTATACAAAACTGTGAGTTACAAAAAGCATAGAGTACGAGGATTTTTTTCTTTTTAAAATCGTCCCCCCCCCCCCCCCCCCCCCCCCCGCTGCGTTGGCCCTCGACTTTTCCGGTATGGGATACCTGGTCCTCAGACTCAAATGAGTTTGAGACCACTGCTATAGGAGGTCCACGTCAGAAACGTTTAGTAGGACCCAGCAAGGTGGGCAACGATTGCAGGCAACTTGCGACGCACAAACGTTTCTCGGCGACGGTATGGAGTGCGAAGTTCAGTACACGAGACCTCTCTTGCCTAGGCGACGCAAGTAGACATTACCAGTCGACTGCTTCCGTTCCATTCTCGTATTTAAACAAATCTAAAATGTTACTGTGAACCAAGAAACTTTTTTTTTCTTTTCGAGTTGCAGTATTTTGTGTGCAAAATAAAAAGTGTTACTCTATCTTTGTGGCGTTGCAAGCACGAGGTGCTTACCCCTATAAAAATGGCTTCCGCCATACAATATACATCTGACTGACATTCTATTGCCCCTATCGCCATTCGATTGCTCTCGCTTGAAATTTATGGACACGGTATTACCCCTTTATTGAAATTTGGCACTGACGTGGTAGGCGCTACAATGGCAATCAAATGGCGAAAGAACCCTTTAGCGTCTTTTTATTGGCAGGTGTCAATACAGAATTCGGGTATCGTCTTTTTATACTCATCCTATTGTCAATCAAGCTCCCCCGGTGGCAGTGCAATACCGGCCAAATTCTGCTGCAAGTAAATCAAACTTTAGGTACAAACCATAGTTATAATATACGCTAGAGGTTCAATTGGCTCTTGTGTTCCGCGGCAAATCGAAGAAAACCATACATGGTAAATTTCTTCCAAAATGTATTTTAATTACAATTACAATCATTTCGCTCCAAAAGTAGTTTAACCATAATTACAACTACTACTATGTGAAAAATAATTCATTACAATTACAAATTACATCAAAAAGTAATGCAATTACTTTACAATTACTTATTTCTGGGAGCGACCATTTTCGTCTATATAACTTCAAACAACGTGTTAAGGATGCAACGCATTTCTTCATTCCTTGCCCAAATGTTTGAATCGCCGAATATATGTCACGAATTGTACTATTTTTTTGTAAATTTTCTTAAATTAATGAGAGAAGTTAACAATATGGGATAATGAAATCCTACGTTCTTATATTTTCAATAAATAATAATAAATTAGTTTATATACACGAAGACACCAGATCACTAAAATAAAATTGGTTGACACACTTTTGTTAGCCAGGCAAATAAAAATGTGACAATTAGCCATATCTGAATATTTTAATAGTGTTAATATATGACTACAATCTACATCCACACGCGCTAATACAACCATATTTACAGACAAACGTTTCATTTTTTCCTAAATTATTTACAGTGAATTGAAATTACAATGGCTCAAAATTTATAAGACCCGGATATGGGCTCCCGAATCCATCATGACAATATCCACAGGTGCGAAGTCAGCTCAAAAATGCTTATGCAAATAATATCCGAAGTAAAACCAACGAAAAATAAACGTGAAAATAATACAAAAAAAAGCAACAGTACTCAAAGAGGGGCGCAAAAAAAAACAACTGGCAAACAAATAAATAAAAAAAAAATTAATTCATAGACCTTAAAAATTTCAGCCTTTTTTTTTCGGACATTTTGTTTTGTTGGGACATTTGACGATATTTACGACATTTCTTTTTTATGACTAACACTGAAAAAAAGAAAAGAAAAATGCTGTCGACGACAGTGCTAAAAGCGCGAGCTCGTTGCTTTGGATCGCGCGCCACGAGCGCTCCAGCATCGGGTGCAGTCATGCCAGTCAAGGCTACTCGTTCGCTGCTTGCACGGCCTTCGCAGCTATTCTATGCAAGGGTGATGATAATCCGTCGTACTGCACACAAGTACAGCTCCAGAAAAATGCGTACGAAATTACTGCGGCTGGGCTCTGTCGCCTCCGGTACACGTAATCTTCATTTGCAACAGGAGTGACGGACGGCACCGGGCGAAGTTTGAAGATGGAGAACGCTTATTTTGATGTTCCTAAGAACGCGACGAGTACAGGCGGCAATGGTGACAACACGCACCAGCGCGGACACCGCCGAGCCGCCGAGCCGAGCACCCGGCCACACACACGCCGAGCTAACGACATTTCACAATGCAGTCAGCGGCATCCAAAGAAAACGTGTTGTTGGCGTAACAATAACTAAGATGTCAAAATAAAAGCTGCTATTTTTACGTCCATGACGCCATTGTCCACGCCCCCTGGATATCCAATCGGTGTCGAAAATACGCAGCCTCCGATTCCAAACCGAAACTAAAATCCCGTCGTAGTTGTGTGGCTAAGCGAAGTTTCGTATCCCGTATAAAACTTTTATTTTAATACATTTGTTTTAGTTTTTTAAGTTTGTTAAAACGTTTTATTGTTTCGGTTCGCCACTGTTTTACGAATAATGTTACGTTAACTTTTTTATTTTCGCATTTATTATGCACCTCGAAACAAAGTCTTTTACAAGCCAATCCACCCTGAACTTCATTTGCGTCGAAGCTTCCGAAGCTTTGTTGCGGTTTGGTGTGTCTTTTATTTTTACGTAGAACTCATATCGATCCGATATGCCGCGTCCGAGAATGGATTTTGCGACTAATAAGTGGCGAGGCACCACGCGAGCAAGAATGAACAGCCCTGGAGGTTATGGGCACTGCTCAATTGGCTCATTCCTCGGTGCTTCTCGAAGGTAAGCCTTTTTTCTCTGTGTCCTCCTAAGCTTCCGTTCAAGCATCTCCTTGGTTTGTTTCCTTGCCCTGCCTTTGCCTAATCGCGCCCGAGAAGTGTATTCTGACAGGTATTTTCCTTAGGCGAGCATCTCTCCTCGCGCTTTTCGTCAAACCGTCCGACGGGTTGCGAGTTCTAATCGCGAAGCCATGATTCGGTCACCCAACACGTCGGTCGACCTGGATAGCTAGGTTCGACATTGTACATGTACCTTTTTTTAGTACACGGAAGTGACGTCATCACGTCTGATTGGTTGGAAACAAAAGTGACGTAATTTCCCTAGAAAAATGTGGGCGGAGTCGGCAAAACTGGGCGGAGTCGGCTACCGGACGTGACAACAAAATGACGTTTCGTTTTGTACCGAGTACGTTTCAAAAGGTACTTGCTCGGAACTAGGTGTCATTGGCAGCATGTGTTCGGCGGCGAGGCGTCGCCGTCTCGTCAATTCGTCTTTTTCTTTAATAGAGCTTTTTTTTTCGCCAGAAAGGCTGTATCGGGAACACCGCGATGCATTCGAGCTCGCGGAGGAGATCTTTTGGAAGCAATACCGCCTGCCCAAGATCGTGGTGCGGTGGTTGTGCGACGAACTTCGCGAGGAACCGGAGGTGGGGAGAGTGCGTACCTCGTGGACGGTCATGACTGTGGAGCTTCAAGTGTTGTGTGCACTGCGCTTCTACGGCACGGGGAGCTTCCAAGGCATGGTGGCGAGCGACGAACACGTAGCGCGGGACCAAACGACAGTCAGCGTTGCGGTCCGCGCCGTGTCCGTCGCTATCGTGCGTCGTCTCGGGGTCCAGCGTGGCTGGATCCACTTCCCCGAGACGCCGAGCGAGAGGTTCGACACGGAGAAGGGCTTCAGGCTGTTCGGCAAGATACCCGGCGTCATCAGTAGCGTGGACGGGACCATGGTCTCCATCGTCGGCCCGTCCAAGAACGACCCCACCGTCACGAAGGCGGCGTACTGGTTCCGCAAGTACTTCTACGCCCTCAACGTGATGGTGGTAAGTACACTCATGTTACGTTGTCAAAACGCGCCCCAAATCTCTAGAAAAAAAAAAAAAAAAACGTATTGCCGATACGGTTTAAGTATGCCGTTTTATGACTGCGGGCTGTGGGTCTCACGACTGCGCGAGCGTGTGCTCTACGTAGCATGTGAGCTTCCGTAAAAAGAAACAAAAAAAAAAAAACATTATTTTTGTTTTAAGGTAGTTAGTTGTACCTTGCATCCAGGAAGGTGTGTTGACATGCATGTGTCAGACAAACTAACTTAAAAGGTTCTGAAATTGCGACTGCTTTGTGAACCATAAGTACAATCTACTACTTGTGGATTCAGGTAATTACATGTCAATATCTCTCTCACTTTCAGGTGTGTGACGCCGACTGCCGGATAATGTGCATCGACCCACGGTATCCCGGGTCGGTGCACGACTCCTTCGTGTGGCAATTTTCCTGGCTCCGAAACCAACTCGAGCAAGGGCAGGTGCCACGCGACGGCCGGTTCCTGCTTGGTGAGCATACTAAATTCATTCCTTACGCACACGGTGGCTCCCACTGCTTGAAAGCCACAGTACCACGCGTACTGTGCTTGTTGTGAGCACACAGACACAGTTGCTGGAACTCCTTGAAGTGAGACAACACCCAAAGTTTGGCCATTAATCTCTGTTTATGTCCACATAACTCTCACACTCTGCAGGCTACGAAAGCCACACTAGACCAATCTCACGACAGTGATAGACTATGCAAGGCATGCAACCGCAGTGCGAGTCGTTGTCCGGTTCGGCCCACTCACTGTTACTGTCTGCCGGTACCCTCTTGCTGGTTGGTTTTTGCATGAAGTTGGAGCTCTTTCGCCGATCCCTGAGGGCTCGCCTGGTCGCTTTGACGGTCGTCAGTTTGTACGGAATGGGATCAATTCCTCCTTGGCCACTTGGGGCTCGCCAAATCTGTCCTCGGGTCGTCTCTGTCCCACACACTGGATTCTTTTCCCTGACCCTTCTTCTTCGGTCTGCCTATATAGCTCCTCCTATTAGACCCTCCGTGTCCCAACAGGACCTGACTCCTTTCCAATCTAACCACCCCTCTCTTTTCCCCATCTCCAACTCCACCGAGGATTAGGAAAGAGGTTCGTCGAACTGGCGCCTTATCCCCTTGCTTGCCAAAGACAAGGCCAGCGTGTTCTGCTCTGCCCGTGCCTAAGGTCACGGCCACACTCCCAAAAGCAACAGAGCTTTTATCTGTCGGATGCAAGGGCCTAATAATGCACTTGCATACAACACAGCACCCCTAAGGAATCGTGCACACATCCCATACAACCCACCAGGAAAACACATAGTTACATGAAATAACAGGGAGTTTGCAGGCAAGCTGGTGCTAATTAATCATGATGTAAACTGATACTGTAGTGCAGAAATATTAACACACTTTTAAGTCACACTTAAGTTACATTATAATTGACATAGTTGCACACAGCTGTTTTCTTGCCTTTTATTTTAAAAAGTAAAGAATGTAATATGTTCCATCCTCTACATATGCAGGTGACAGCGGCTACCCCTTGGAGCCTTGGCTCATCACCCCTGTCCCCGGGAACCACGCGACCTCCACCGCTTGCGGCCGGTTTAATAAGGCGCATTCCTCGATCAGGTCTGTTGTGGAGCGCTGCATCGGGCTGTTGAAAAACAGATTCCGGTGTCTGCAAAGGCACCGGGCTCTGTATTACCACCCTTCAACAGCCACCGCCATTATTTCGGCATGTGCAGTGCTCCACTACATCTGCCTTGCATCGAGCGAGCCAGAACCGGAGTCAGACTCCGACCCTGAAGAGTCAGAGTTGGAGTCTGAGCCGAGCTTGGACGGTTCTGAGCCGAGCTCGGAGAGGTCAGCGTCGGCTCCCGAGAGGCTGGCTCCTGCCGGCCCTCCGGTCGGCCTTCCGGTCGGCCTCTCGGACAGGGGGAAGGCTCTGAGGCAGCGCCTTGTCGCCCGGTTCGGAACCCGCCGCAGACGTGCCCGTGCGGAGCGCCACACGCAAGGGGTCCGCCGCCACGACGGTAGTCCCGACCACCAGGGACTCCGTCGGGAAGCCCCTCAGCGCCCTCGCTGCGGTGGTGCCCAGCACGGACGGCGCCAGCGACAGGGAACCTCTCGCCACCACGACTGAGGTCCTGACCACCAAGGACCCCGTCACATTCTTGCCCTCAGTGAAGCCCTCCCCGTGGAAGCCGTAAAGTGCACACTTCGCTTCCTGCTCCACAGTCATGGCCGTCCACAAGCTACATACTCTCTTCAGCTCCTACACCTTGTGAAGTTCGTCGCACAGCCAGCGTGCTGCCTCCGGATACGTGTCGAGTGCATCGCGGTGAAATCGATACAGCCTTTTTTTAAATTTTTATGAGCAGAAGGCACGAGACGCAGTCGACAGTGACAGAAAAGGTTCGGAGGTTTAGTTGCCAGACCAACAGGTCATCTGGATTGCCCCTGCAAAGAACTCAGAAGTAATTTAGACTACCTCTAGAAAGAAATGCTTGCTTTTGCAGAGATTGCTTTCTTAGTTGCTGATTGAACCAGGGATATTGTTGTCATGGACATTGTTTCATTTTACAAATGCTTCAAAGCGTCTTGCCTTCTGCTCCATTTTATTATCTCTCTTATGGTACTTCATCAAAGTTAGGTGCTTGTGTTATCTCAAGACAGTGCACATGTAGTCTGTTTTGAAAATTGCTTTATTTCTTAAAGAAAAACCTGTGACTTCATGAATAAAAGTGTGATAACATGGAATGTAATATTTCATTCTTGGAAGTAAAACTGAGCATCGACTGGAACCATGTAAGCAATTGGGCAATCTTAAGTATATATCACAGATATCTTGTTGAACACTCTGGTCTTATTTGAGCACAATAGTTAAATTTCGAAAGGAAAAAAAAATATACATTCTCTGACTAGCATACCACCATATAAACACTGGACCACTTTGAAAGAATTATCCCAGATGTTGCGCCAAACATTCTTATTTGAGCACAGCAATAGCAAGTTCTCGAAAGATAAAAAAATTGTTTCTGACTAAAGCAGCCGTCACTCGCGCGCTCCCCGTTGGTTCCGCCGACCCCTCCGCTGCCCCCGGCACACCCATATCCTCGTGGTTCGACATTTTGGTTTGAAGAAGGCGGGTAGCGCACATCCCGCATAATATTGGAACAACTTTCTCTCCAATTAATTCTTAAATGTATTGCAAAAGGGTACAAAAAAGCGGTTTGTTTTAACAACGCCCAAAAGGTTTTGATTGTATTTCAATACTTTCACCTGTACTAGAACAGATGCGACGGCCAGCGACGCACAGGATTGGTTGCCGTTCCTTCGCTAAACGCAGGAACTGCTCCCCGCGTCGTAGTAAATCCTACCCCGTATCCCGCGCGTAGGGACGCCTCAGGGAATGCGTAGCTACTTCCGCTCGTCGGTGGTTGGCTCCGGACGTCGCTGAAACGGGTGACGGGTGTCAAGTTTGCGATGACGTAGCGGCGTCAAAGTGGGCAGAGCCGCCACGTGAGTGTTGCTAGGATACGCTCCTCCTTTGCATTACGTCACTTCCATGTACCTTTTCTCAAATGTCCAACCTAGCGATCCTGTCAAACGTTTTATCGCACGTGGGTCGTCACTTCGCGTCGGCACGCATCGCTGCCTACCCATATCTGTTCTGGCCAGGTTTCTTTGTCGGCCCGCGCGTCTTATCGCTGTGGGTGATCTCAAGCGACGCGAGCGAAACGCGTAAAAAAAGAAAACATTGTGGTTGAAGCCGTTTGATCTACTGCGCTATATATATATAGAGAGAGAGAGAGTAAAGCTATACGCACTCCGGAGTGCACTTCGGACGGAAATGGCTATACGCACTCCTCCGAGAGATCATGCCGCTCGGGCCACCCTTTTAGAACGGCGCGTGTATCACTGGGGAGCTCGTTAACACAGCCCCCCGCCTGCGTTCACGCCGCTTCGCGGCGACAGTATCGGCTGCTAATTACAAATCGTAACCAGTACACGCCGCTTCGCGGCGTCCAGCCGGCAATCCAAGCCCCGCTGTCCCCGATCGCACCTCGAAAGGGAGTCCCATACCATTTAGTTTTGCGAAGTTTCTCAACAACATTCGATTTTTTTTTTTTTTTTACTGTTTATCGCAAAAAAAAAAAAAAAAAAAAAAAAGAAATGTCCTAAATATCGCCAAATGCCTCGACAAAACAAAATGTTTGAGAAAAAAAGAAAGAAAAAAAAGCAGGCCCGCTGCGGATGGAACCCGCGTCCACTTGCGTATGAAGCGGACACCTTGACCCCTATGCCATGCCTCCGCTTAGGCCCGCTTCAGACAGAGCAATTTCACCCAGCAACTTGACGTCGCAACACCAGCAACACGGGCCGCCCGCGTTCACACGCAACAACCGAATTGCTCCGACTTGCCATCATCATCATTAAATTTGATTTTTCTTTCACTATTTAGACGCCCAGCTACGCGCTAAAAACGCATTCTTATATCTTTGAACGGCGTTGAGAATACTAACTAATTTTTCTGAAACTGTTTATTTCCGAAAACGATCCATTTCAAACTAGAACTAAGTCTTTAGCTGTCATCATCACCACCACAGGGGTGTCACGTGAAAATATCGCGTCTTTGATTGGCTGCAGCCGCTTCAACCGTCTTCGAATTGCTCCGAGTTGCTCGCTTGTTCGAGCCGGACCCGATCTCAGCAATTCGCGTCGATCTAGGGAAAGCTAGGGAACAACCCGCCAGCAACCTCAAAATTGCTGGAAAAGTTGCCCCGTCTGAAGCGGGCCTTAGAAAATTCGTTGTCACCACGCGTTTTATGCGAGAAAAGCGGAGTGCGTATAGCCATTTCCGTCCGAAGTGCATTCCGGAGGGCGTATAGCTTTACTCGTATATATATATATATATATATATATATATATATATATATATATATATATATATATATATATATATATATATATATATATATTTATTTATTTATTTATTTATTTGGACACACAAAATAGACGGGCACTAATTAACTTCACTAACATGCTCACATAATCTCCACTTGTCATGATTTTTGTGTGGGCTTTGCCCGATGATGCTAGTGAGTCATTCTCGTTTCAAGTGGAGTGTCCAAACCATTTTGCACGCATGTTCGGACTCTCGGGATTTGCAGAAACTGGGAGTCTGCAACGCCTGCTGTCCTTGTCTTTTTTTCTCCAGTTCATCTTTTTTCCTTGTGCAACAGCAGACTGTCGCACAAGAGCGACACCTTTTTCATGCGTGGTGTCACCTGAACCGTAGAATGCTCGCTTCATAGTGTGGCCCGTGAGGCTGTGCGCTTTCCGCTGTCTGCTTTCACGAACACAAATACGGTGATGTACCCAGAGTGCACCGCTCGCTAGCCTTGCGTGAGTACACTCTATATGGTATATGTTGTTCAAACTACCTTTATGCATAGCAGATCCAACCTGCATTCTCTTTTGCCATTGCCGGTAGCAAATTGTGTCTGTTTAGTATTGCACACCTGCCAACTTCCCCGTATTACCCAGAAGTCTCTCAAATTTTGATCAGTTTGTATGATTGACAGAAAAACCTCCCGAAAAGAGAAATTACCCTCCCCCTCTCTTTTGTACTAAAGAAGAGTTTTTGCCATCACTGTGGACGGCTGAAATCCCATGAGCATAGGCAGTGCAATATATAAATATAATGAAGTTGTCTTCATGCAAATTTGTTCTCAATATTTCTTTTTAAAACACCCCCCCCTCCCCTGCTTAGAAATTATCCCGAATTTGGTGTCCCCAAACTTGGAAGGTATGGTACTGTCTGTGCCTTTTCTATCTTGTGTCATTTATGTAACGTAATATATCTGTTCTTCATATTTATAATCGCTGCAGGCCTGGTCAAGGAGGAGTTGCTCAGTGAACTACTAGTTTGAGTTCCCTGAGACGGACACCACTGACATCACCTACAGTGCCGAGGTACAGGCTTAATGGCAGATATCAATAGGAGATGATGGTAAGCTGTACTATTTATTTAGCAGTGTCGGAGTAACTCACTTGAGTTTTCATCACTGTTTTCACTGGCAGTTTGTTGCCTGCACACAAAAATGTTTCATTAATTGTCCATGTCCATTAAAATTGATGCAGCCTTCACACTTCTGCGGTTTAGAGCGATTCGCAGACATATGTCCATCATAGTCGAAACAGCATGGCTCATCATTAGAGTTGAATGCTGAGTTTCGTTTGGCAACGTTTTGGCCACTTCGATCACTACAAAACATTATTTGCCTTCTCAGGTACGCGTCACGTCTGTTTGGTTGGACAGCCACCAAGTTGACTTGGATGTCAGCGCCTGTTGTCATCAGAACCTGGTTCTTGTGCTGCCACATCATTTTTGGTGGTGGCGCTGTCGTCACCTCCCAACGCTTGCTCTCCCTGAGTTCCCATTCAAGATGGTGAGTGGTATACTTGTGGGGGCCTCGCTGCTGCAGGTGCTGCCATGTAGCTCTGGCTCGTGGTGGCTCCACCGCCATCATTTGTGCTCCCTGTGATCCCAGCCGGAGTGGTGACAGGGATTATGCGAGGGCTCTTTGTCACAGGTGCTGCCACGGACTTTGGCTCGTGAGGGTGCCGTCGCTACTGACAAAGCCTGTGCTCCCCGTCGTCCCTGTTGAAATGATGGCTGGAACTTGGAGAGGGTTTGCTGCCACAGCCGGTCAGTTCAAGTTCCGCACATTCTGCCGTAGCCCTTGGGAATTCGTTCCTTCCATGTTGAGGTTCTAGTAGGAGAAGTCCACCGCTGTTGAGCTACATGTCACCACAGCAGTCAATCTGCAGAGGGGCATGGCCACGTGACCACACTTCTGAAATGTTAGAGCCTTGTTGTGGACATGGAGGCCGGTGTGAGAGATTTAATATGCGTCTGGCACATCTGCCCGGCGAAAGAACTCATGGGTGTGCCACATGGAAAGTGAACAGACTGTGCAAGTCTCTTTTACAAAATGGCACTAACAATAGGTAGTGTCTGAATCATTCTTGTCTTACGTAGGTGATACTTTCTAAGCGTAATGTGTTAGTAGATAGCTATGGTGTTATTGCTTAACTCTGAACAAGATACAAAGTATGAGACATTTTCAGGCCAAGTAAAACATTTCTGCTCACTTTAATCTTGAAGATCTTCCAGAGTTTCACATCATCCAGCAATCCTGAAGGCGATGCACCACATGTAATTATAATTAATATTCCCGCTCTTAGTTTACCAGGAAGGTGTTCAAAAAATTGTAAGTAGTGTTAGTTGCTTAGGAGAGCAATGTGTTGCACCTTGGCGTTCCATTCACTTTGGGATGAGGTGCTCCATTCTTGTGCGTCCTTGGTTGTTTCCGTAGCCCCAAAAGATGTTGGAGATTTATATGTTTTATTTTTGGGGAAACCATGTTATGTTAGTATCTGGCATGCTTTTTTTTATTGCTGAAAGCTGTTTGAAGTGAGCCTTTTGTCCACCTAAGAGCATAATGATTGGGAGCTTCACTCAGGTGTGTTTTCTGGCCACACCGCAGAGCATGATTGTAAGCATCGATGCATGCTATTGATACCAAGATCGGGACTTCAGAGAGGATCAGTCAAGTCTTCCTATTTTTATTTCCATTGATTCTTTGGCATTCTAGATATCTTTTTGTAAGCGTGTTCACGTAAGCTTGTTCAACTTTCTGGGTCATAGTATTGGGTCGTTCTGTAATTAGCATATGCTTTATGCATTTGTCATTAGTCTCATCTGAAGTTGTCATGGGCACATGGCTGACACATTTGGTGCTGCTTTGATTTGGAGGGTAAATATTGTCCGGCATAGGTCTAGCAAACTTCATATATTCTACACTTCAAAATTTTCTCGTAGACCTGATTACTAGGCAATAAGCTCCTTTTCAATATGTGCATTTACTTAAATTGAAAAGCCAAAAGGCTTTTAATAATCAGCCACATGCAGAATAAGAACAGTGTTTCTGCCTCCTAGTGTGGGAGAAAATGGGTGGGGGGGGGGGGGTGGAGGCCAAAGCAAACGCAAGCAGTGTGAATACAACTCTAGGACTTATATGCGGGGTAAGTGAGGAATTTGAACTGTCTACCAAGACCATGTAGCTCACACATTTAGCAGAGGATAATTGGGTTTGATTTAACAAGCTATTGGGGTGGTTTTAAAGCTCCTATACAGCCCCACATGGAGTCACCCTGCATGCACTGATCTAGACTGCTCGTTTCACATAGATTTGTGTGACATATTGATGTAACTGCTTCTTTTATTTGCAAATTTTTGTGTTATTCTGGATAATTGGGAACCCAGCAAAAGGTTGGCATGTCATGGAGTAAACATGCCATTGTACAGTGTGCTTCACTCTAAAATGTAATGCATGAGCAGTGGCCAAAGCTGATGACACTTGTCGAATGAGGAAATCAATGATACTGCACAAACTGAAGCATATCTTCCTGGGACCGTTGTCACTCCCCTATAGAATTATTGCATGACCTCCTTGTTTTTTTTTATTGTCCTCAGTTAATTTGACGAGGACTGGATTGCTGTTATCCTTAATAGGTCGGCGTGTCACGTTTATTTTGAGGTCCAATTAACGGGAAATTGGTTTTGATAAGTTAAATAAGGGGAACAACAAAATATTCAGAGCAATGTCTTTTTTTTTCTTTCTATTTTTTTGCATCACCGAAACATTTATTGGTCACCGCATTGAAACTGGGAGTGTAACGCACGAAGAGAACTGCAGTGTGACCCTCCAGTCTCTGCCGTCAGACGATGTACACATTCTACAACGTAAGTGCAGGATTAGCTTTTTTTTTTTGGGGGGGGGGGGCGATTTTTCTGAGATGACATGAAAATGTTGTGGTCATCACCATCAAAGTGATTTGTTGTCTGCATGTTCCCTGCTTTAGTGACAAGGCCACTGACAAGCCGCTTCACGGGTACTAAATTGAACCGCTTGACAAGTTGCTCAAACAATAGTGATACAGAAATGGCAGTACGAGGACAAGTTGAAGAACCACAAGTAGCGCTTGTCCTATCACTTCTTCAACTTGCCGTTGTCCATAGCACTATTTGTGTTTTGCTTCTCTTCACCTGCTTCATAAAGAGCAAATATATAACGCTGCTTAATAAAATGACAGCGTCCGTCAAATCGGTAAACATTTCTCTGTAAAACATATTGCCCTGGCCAAGTCCAAGTCTCGTTTTCACGATGAGTTGCATAGTGAATCGGCTAACAATGGTTGATGAATATGATGTAGTTCTACTGAATCAGTAGCATACTTCAATCTCTCTTCTGCACAAAACCTATGTTTCGGAGCGGTTGACATAGTGTTTTCTCGACAGCCGAGGGGCTTGAAGCAGGTGCTTAATGTCTGTGAGCCACCACCATTGGAATTTTAACTTGTCACTTGCTCTAGAACTTGATAATGGAGCAATGGCAGATTTTATGAAGTTTGCGAAACCGACGTCGGAGACCTTCGAATGGGAAAGGTTTACAGGACTAGAAAAATAATGACAGCACGTCCTCAACAATTATCTGTAATAAAAAGACGGTGCCCAAAGAACTGTAGCTAGTTTTAAGTGTCACTCGCTGAAGCGGTTTGTATATTGTGTTAATTCCTGCATTTTGCTGTTTTTTTTCTGTTTCAGGATCCAGTGTTACATTCCTGTGGCTTTTTGGTTGTTTCCCAATTATTGAAGGGAGTTGCAGGCTTATCATGGGCGACACAGTGCTTTGGTGAGTGTACCTTTTATTTACTGCTTGGCCAATCAAATCGAGTGGCTTTGCAGGAAACTCTCTACAGTTTCAGGATGTTTGAGGGTATGTTCTCCTTCAGACATTCTGAAATGGCACAAATTTTTTTGTGCTGCATCACTATACTCTGTTGAATGACCAGCTGAAATCGTAGTAGAAGCTACATGCTCGTTGGACCAGTCATATGTCTACCTTTCGCCATGTGTTACAGTCCCGCCCATAACCATGTGCAGAAGGCGGGGTCAGGTAACGAGAGGGAGGTGGTTGATTGATCCGGTGGGTGCGTAGTTACCACCACAGTCAGCTTAGAGCTGAATGTTAATTACTCAAGCTTTAAATAGGTCACAGTACTCAAAGCTTGAGGAACGCCTGAGAAGTTTTTAGAACGTTTTTATTTACCGTGTCTACTCGCTCCATGAGTCTCAAACTACGTCCAACTCGGCTAGCCATCAAGCCAATTTTCTTTCGCCGCCAAGCGGCCAGGCCACTTCAAACCAGGCAAAGCATAGCGGTACATGCTTTCATGGCTGCAAGTGTGTAGTTGCGGATGTGATCAAGAGTGAAACCGAGCGGCGCATACACGTAACAAAGCTGGGGTCGAGGAATTGCCCAGCTTTGGACATGTTTCGCCCACAGAATGCATTGATGTCAACAAACACGCGGTCATCTGTAGTGTGCTTTCGGACAGTGAAATCGTGAAAGTGGTTAGGCCTAAGGACGGTCGCGTCACTCACCATGCTGAGTGAGCTTCCCTAGTAAAAAAATCTTAAATGTATAAAAAAATTTTATGTCCAACAAATGCGTATGATCCAATAAGATCATATAAGAAAATACAAGAACCTTATAAAAACATTAAGAACAATATAAAATTATATTTGAAGTTATAAGAAACTTCTTTTCAGTTTCTTAAAACTTCTTATATAATCTTATATATTTCCTATATTGCTCTTATATGTTTTTATAAGGTTTTTATATGATCTTATTTGGTCATATGCTTTTATTGGACACCTAAATTTCTTACATGCAAGATTTTTTTACTATTCACTCGGAGGGCGCTTTTCCTTTGACAGAAGGCACACCGAAAGCACCCTAAAAAAAGGTTTTCAAATTGTAGAACATGGTTATTGTAGCGCGCCCACGACCAGCCGTCAATGCGCTTCTGTCAGTGGAGACATGCCACAGTACTTTGCCGTGTCATACTGCCACCTAAAATTACATTTTCGCGAAGTGTGTAAATGCAGAAATTTACTCTGCATAATGAACGCACCCCCGAAATATATGTCAATTTCAGAATAAAGGGGTGTGTTCATTATGCGGGTAAATATGGTAAAAAAGTGAATGATGACTCAAACAAATGCAAAACTCATACATTGGAATTTGAAAAAAATCACCAACCATATCCTACAACAAGGTCCCAACGTTTCAAAAACAGCTTGTTTTTTTCTTCAGGGGTGACTGCTTCCAGATAGGGGACAACAGCTTCGTTTTCTTCTACGATAGTCTCTTTTTTTTTCACTTCGTTAGGTGGCTGAGTCCGTTCACGTAGTATGATGGCAATGTGCCAGTGGACCTATTGATGTTTCCTGGTGTTGTTTGGATATGCCATGACTATAAAAAGCTGCTGGCAGAAGTTTGTCTCAACATTTATGAGGGTGTTGGCAAAGTTTATGCGATATTCATTGTCCTCACAGTGCTCTGCAACAGCGCTGTGCTCGTCGTCGAATTTGCAGTTGTTTTTGTGTTGTTGAATTCTTTCTGGGAAGTTCTTTGTTTTTCCAATGTAGGTGGCATGGAATTGAATATACAATGCCTTGCGCTCTTTGTTTAGAGGGATGACCTTTAATTCGCAGCATCATACGTCAAAGTGTTGATACCGGTTTGTGGGAATCCTGAATACTTTCTTTTACCAGCATACATGACAGCGCTTCGCTAGTCCCCTTTATGTAGGGAACACAGATGCGGGTGTGTGGACGGATGTTTTCGAGTTTTTAAGCTTTCTCCCGACCAGGCAGGCCTCTGCCAAAATGTTTACCCTCAAAACTTGCACTGCATGTAGTAATGGCTCTTGGTCTGCGAGAAGTTTTGTTTTAGTTTTGTGTTTGTTGAGCATTATTGGGCAAATGACAAAGGCTATGCCACCTCATTATGACCACAGTAAAAAGAGCTATACACTTGATAACATAGTCCTGTCATGTTTTTGCTTTGAAAAAAATGTTAACACACAAGATTAATCTATTTCTTGACCCCTTGACTGGGGACCCATGACCAAAAAAAAATTTGTTTGTCCCTATTTTGCCTATATTTTTTTGTACGAAACTTTTCTTGTGCTACCATCATAGCTTTAATTTCTAAAGGAAAATTATTTCCGATGTTAGGGGATAGATGGTGCTTCCTCCCGTACGATAAAAAGAGTGAGCGTTTAAAGACGCACTCCCCAAACTGATTGAAGAGTGGTGCATCTATGAGTGCACCCCCAGGCTGCTGTTAAAATTGCCAAGCATCCAAAGATCTTATCAAAAGTAATATATAAATCTTTGTCTAAGGTGAAGTGAATATTTACATTAAATTCAAGTAATGACGCAATAACAACATGGCAGTGCCCACAAGCTGCATGCGCATGAACGAATTTCACCATCCAAATGGATGAATGACCGTTTTGGCAGAACTGGACAATGAGGAAAAGGGTACCAATACTTGAGTGTAGCTTTCTAGGGGCTATTATCATTTTAAATTGCAATTCTCATTTGCTCTTTCAGCTCGCACCTTCACGGAGTACAGCAATGTGGGGAAGCCAGTCGAGGACAGCCTCTCTCGATTTCTGTCCCGGGGGCGCTATGCTCTTCCAGGTAAGCTGCTTCCCTCTCTTAAGAGACACGAATAGACCCTTTTATTCAAGACCAAATTGACGATAATAATCACATCAAATAAAATGGGGAACAAGGGAACAAAGAAGATTCCTCTTTGACCTTTCTCCCCCTTGTACCCCTTTTCCAGGGATTATTATTGTATTCATACTTATTACATTATTGTGGAGTTGACATTTTGACAACCTGTGGTTGGCTGATATGTTGTGGAAGTTAAAGCTATTGCACATTCAAACATTGTGTGAAATACAGTAGAACCCTGCTGCTGCATCTTTATGCAGTCACAATAAAGGATCATGACATGAGCAAAGATGTAACAACTGATAATGCCCTTGGGATAGCTATAGATGTTTCAGGAAGCTGTATTCTCTGTTTATCTTACCGTAGCTTTTATGGCTGTAAAAAAGATTGCCTTATTTTATATGTTGACAATTTTTTCAACACTTCTTAAAATTGTGGTTGTACTATAAGTAACACACTGTTCACAGACAAGCTTGTGTTTGCCCACAGCAGCTATGGGCACTGCATACGCAGGAACTAGATTCGTGAGAGCAGACATGTGTGTACATGTGCTGTGCCGACAGCCGCGCCATCGCAGTGATGCGTTGTCTAGAGTTGCAGTTAAAAAAATATTGAAATATAAGGATGCCAAAATTCTGAGCCCATCGAGTTAAACCACAGCTGCCTCAAACAAATCACTGCACCCTGCATGCCACATCAAAGCAGTGGGGCTTGATGCAATCAGCACTGCTTGAACATGGTGGCATGGAGGTGGTAAAGAAAAATGGGGTGTCGTGACCGCCTGAATCTCTTATTGTCATACAGGACCAAGCAAGAAACACAGTGCAGAGAGGCAAGGAGGTAAAATAAAGGGAGTAAAGCAAAAGGAACAGGGTATGTGTTCCTAGTAGTCATGCCGGCCACCTTGAGTGGCAGTGTTTGGGCATAAGAACCAAGAAGGAAATTCATGAAGCCTGTAATTTTAACACATATATACTTTTGGACGTTCAATAGGACCGGTTTCCGTGAACATAACAGCCGAGAAAACATGTGAGCAAGGTTCTTCTGTGCATATTTTTGAATGTGCTGCAAGAATATTTCTGGTTATATGCCCACTTAATTTATAATGTTTTTCTTCTTTCAGCTGACACCTTACAGACATGTCAGGAAGTAAGGAAAGGTTATTTTTTCACTGATCGTTTACATTTGGGTGATTAACTTAGTCTTGAAAAAAAAAAAAACATCATTTTAATGACATTGTGATAAATAAATTTTGGGTCTTGAAATTGTCCTTCAATCTTTGTTTTCTTCCCATATTGCAAGCCGGCACTATGTGTATCAGGCATGGAATCAATGGTAGGCCATGTAAAATATTGCAGTTTTTCGGCTGGCCAGCTTAAAGTTTACGAGGGGTTGACAATGGCGAAATTGTCACGAAATTCGATCAAATGACGTCTATGTGATAATTATGCCCTTATAAAAATGGTTGATGCCATTTTGTATTATTGCCAAATGGCAACAGGTGTTTAAGAGCAGTCAATCAGCAGGCAACAGATGTTAATCGTCATTGAGATGTCATCTTGTTGACCCGGATAGCCATTTCGCCACCGTCAACTTTTTGCCGTTCTATTGGTTATTGTCGGTGCATTGCCAGTGTATCTACATGCTAATGCTAATTGGCTATTGGAGGCAGTCAAAAGATTATAAAATGTATAGTCCTTTGATTGCCTCCTTTAGCCATTTAACGTTAACATGTAGATACACTGATGATACGCCGACAATAACCAATAGAACGGCAAAAAGTTGACGGTGGCGAAATGGCTATCCGGGTCAGCAGGGTGACGTCTCAATGACGATTAACATCTGTTGCCTGCTGATTGACTATTTGTAAACAGCTGTTGCCATTTGGCAATAATATGACTTTCAAATGGCATTAACCATTTTCATAGGGGTATACTTTCCCTCAGGAATCGCGCCACTGCAAGTCACGATAGTCAACATTCATTTTTTACAACACAGTGATACGGCAAACCTAATTTAAAGGTACAAAGTAAAACTTGGGGGACGCTGAAGATTCGCCTTTAAAAGTGGAACTCGATAGCGTTACCGGACCCGTTTCGCAAAGCCTTTTCATATGTACCCGCGCTTGTTCCCAAGGCGTGCAAGCGTATGTACCTACGTGGTTTAGTCGGTAGCGTCACATCTTACTTGGCGTCAAACGTGAGGGTTGTGGGTTCTTTGAAATTCCCGCTCGAGGGCATGTGGCGTGACGGCACACGCATGACATCAAACGTGACGTTACAAGTGGCTGTGTCGTCATGACCCAATCGACCCTCTTAATTTATCAAAACAATTTTCCGCCAAATTTATCAGAAACTTGTCCCGCCAAATTGAGCGAGGAAATTTAACCCTCTTGACGTCACTCGTAACGTCACGTGTTACGTCACCAGGTGCATGCCGGGATTTTCCGGTTTTACGGACGCCGACGTTCAATTTTTCAAGACATAAACCCTAAACGCTATCGCGTTCAAAAAAAGATACTCCTATCACAATCGTGGATACTCCGCTATATGGACATCACTTGCGGGACAGCCTGGGAAGATACATGCATTTTTGTCTCGATTTTATAGACAACTCAGATTATGGATGATTTTTTATGGGAACGGAGGTGTCTAAATTAACGAGACACCACTGTATTCGAGATATGGACAAAACCAGCGACATGCTCAAAGCGGTTGGTGCTTTATCACGGGCCTTTTAGTTTAAAGAATTAAAGACACTGAGTGACCGTAGCGTCGCTGGCACAGGCATCAAAGGCAAATGGCGGGCGGTTGTCGACTTAACATATCACCAGCTTACCACTGCTCCCGAGTCTGTAAATATCGTTTTGCTGCAAATTTCCTAAACAAAATGAAAACAGGAATTTTTAGAACTATACAGTGTAGGAAAAACAATATATCCCCAGAAAGGGCTGCCCCACAGGCGGGCTTCGTTTTTGTTCCAGCGTGCTGTTGGCCGTGACGTTCCCTATTTTATTTGTAGAACCACAAATAAAAACAAAATAAGATGCAACAAGAAAATTCTAGGAGGCTAAACTTTTTACTGAATTGCCGGAAGATATATAACTCAAAGCAAAAACCCGCACAGCTTAAGAAAACTAACTAAAAATCGATCAATGAAAAGAAAGAAATGTAACCAACTACGTATAAAGAAAATCAGAATTAAAGAAGTGGATCACCCCTCCGATCGTGTCTATCACTATAAATATTTTTATGGCAACCTAATTATAATTTGATCCACCTCAGGTTGTGAATAAACGGTGAAATTGCCCTTGATGTCACAGTTTTTTTAATGGTTTTGCTTTAAATTTGTAAAACAGAGTTGAACATCTGTGCTATTAAAATCAGTGTGGTAAGGAACGGCGTTTCTGGGTCGCGTTTCTTTTAGGAGGAACGAAGGCAAGTCGCCGTTCCACTCTGCATCGGTGGAACTGGGATGGGAGCTCGTTACGTTTTTACGGAAACAAAAAAAGGAACGGGGCTTCTTTCTTCTCCGTTTTGTCTTTTTGTCCAGTGACGTCATTTTTATTTTATTTTTAAGGGGGGAACTCGAAAAAGTATAAAAACAATAACTTTACGTAGAGCAGAGATCTTGCTAACTTTTTTGTTAGTTATTTTAGGGCTTATTTTGTGGGGTCCTCGCTTGGGAGCAGCTCGGGTGCATGTAAGCTGGTAGACAATAATTCTTTTTTTTTTTTTGAGTGGCCGATATTGCGGCACTTAAAACGAAACTTTTAGTCGAACGGAAAGACACACAAAGAGAGACCTCTCAAACTCGGCTACTTTCTTTGCTTCCATGAATCCTTATACACCTATAATTTTGAGGCTGACTACAACTATTATTGAACATTTACAAAGAGACCTATACAGTGACAACGAAAGCAGGTTACCAGACATCGGACGCACCCTTGCAGCTCAAACACTGGTCGCTTAAACGACACACAAAAAATAATCTTTGTTTTCCCCTCCCCCTTTTAAAACTAAACAACGAATCCGACCTTCACGAAGAGCGACTGGTAGTTTTCAAGACTGACCTCTCAAAAGCCCGCACTCTCAGAAAAAAAGGTGTATTATTACACCCCTTGTCCCATATAATACACCCCAAAATTTCAATTCGACGTACAGCGCCCCATAATCGAACAGCCGGCCCCAAAGTTTACGAGAGGCTTGATAGCCGTGTGGTACATCTTATTAAGATAGCTGATGTACGTATTAATGACTACAAAAAAGATAATCGGCGTTTTCTTGGCCGTAGTGAAAAAGTTCCGTGTTTTCTTTCTTTGGTCTTTGATACGTACTTTAGCAGTTTATTAAGTTATATCGCACCGTTATCAAGCCCCTGGTAAAATTTGGTGCCGTCTGTTCGACTATAGCGCGCTGTACGTCGAAATGAAGTTTTGGGGTGTATTATATGGGACAAAAGGGTGTAAGGTGATACCCTTTTTTTTTTAGAGCGTACCCTCTTCTCCACTTGCTCCTCTTGCGCACAGCAACATCGATAACCAACTCTCCCTTAGTATGAACAAGGGACTTAGATTGCAACGTGTGAGGTTGTTGTAAAACGTGCGTGCAATGTGGAGTAGCCCTTTAACAAAAAATAATAAAATTAACCCCGCTCGTTCTTTCCGGCTCACAGTATATTCAGATCGTCTGAACCGCCCACCACGAACAGAAACATGGTAAAATGGTGAGATTTGTAAAGGTGAATATATCAACTGAATGAAACCTTGCTTCCGGTTGTTTTCTACTCCTGGTGTCGTTCCATCACGGCATTCAAATTCATATGTTGCCATTTGATGGGATAAATATATATATATATATATATATATATATATATATATATATATATATATTAGGGCTGGGCAATTAATCGATTAACCTACCGATTAATCGATTAATGCTTTAATCGCGATTAATTTGTTTAACTAGTTAATCGGTAAAATTTTGACGAACCAAAATTAAATAAAAATGAAATGCTTTCACTATGCAGACATGGACGAGCACACCTATATGAAGTTAAATATTTAGGTGAAATATTGACTTAAGGTAAACTGTATGGGGGAAATTTGTAACTTCAGACAAGTGCAGAAGGTTACACATGTCCCAGCGACTTCAAGGCCGTGCGAGTGTCCATTTAGCGCAGCAGAGACTATACTCTGTTTCACCTTCTGTTGTACCGCAGGAAAGGCTACAAGCGCGAGCTCCTTGCTCTAAGGCACACTTCGGCGGCACAAGCTCTCGTGCACCAAGGGCAGCTGCCAACGCTATGAGCTCGCGCTTCTAGCCTTCGCTGCGGTACAACATAAGGTGAAACGGAGTATAGTGGGAGCAATCAAAGGAGGTCGCCGTTTTCGGAGAATAACAACGAACATTTTTGCCTCATGAAGCTGAAGTACTATTATTTGAGTGTGAGTGTTTTTTAACTGTTCTCAACTGTATATCGAAGCTGATTCATAATTGAAATTACTGCGTCGTTTAACACATATTCAGCAAAAAAAAAAAAAAGTAGATGCAATTTTTACTTTTGAACAATATCATTATGCACGCAAATGAACGAGACCGATTAAGCGATTAATTAATCGATTAAAGGAAGGCGATTAATCGGGTTAAAATGTTTAATCGACGCCCAGCCCTAATATATATATATATATATATATGTAAATTTTTTTTGAACTGAGCAATTATGGTTATTAGCACAATATAAAAGAAAGGCATATGTAGCGATACGTTCCCTTTTTTAAACGGGAACGAGTTCCTTTCTCACGGGTGAAACTTGTACCGGGAACGCTTTCCAAAAATCAGAAGGAACGAGGAATGAACTTTCGTTCCTCTTTTTGAGGAACGTCTGCAACCCCGAATAAAATGAAACTATTGTGCAACGCGAGAGCCGCATATTTCATTCTTAACATGACTGTGTGTTTAGTGATTATGTACCTCCCGAAGTCCCACGTACAACTCTAATGGACTTATGTTGGCATAGATTGTAAAATGTTAAAAAATTAAAATCATATTTGTATTGTATTGTATCGTATTGTATCGTAATACAATACCGCGTTATCTTCTTGGCGTGACCATGTGTTTTGGTTGTCGTATCATCTTCCTTGAA